CTTTGGGATGCTCCAGTCATACCCCTTCCTAAGGATTTTACCATACTCCATTTTTATTCTTTTCTTGGATGTTAATACTCCTGTGAGACCCAAAAGAATGCCATCTCATCATGAGCATGGGAGTTTCTGGTACTTCTGGCTGGTTAACTCTAGTGTGGGGCACAGAAGCGCAAAGTCGATTAAAACCTGAGATTCTAGAAGTGAGGTTGAATCCTCTTTCAGAACAGTTCCTCTTAATACATTAGTACATGATGAGTCTCTTTTAATTACTATCTTTCAGACATTTTAAATGTTGGAACCCTTTTTTCAAGAAACGAAGGGTTCTTAAAATATGTTTTTATAGTAGGCCACAGGTGTTGAGCATGCTTTTTGTTCTTTGTATAGTTTATGAATTTTCTGGATTGTTTGATACGTTTCTATTCACAGGCAAAATAGGTACACACCTGTATAATCAGAAGTATCCATAACTTTTTTGGTAAACGTTTGCCTTTTCTTACCAAAATTACAAAGTGATGGCCTTTTATGAATTATTTTTTATTATTTTTTTCTCATATTGTCACATCCTTATTTTCCCCTAAGAACAGAATGTTCCAACATCTATTCTGATTACAAGGAATCGACCACTGTATTACTTTCCCATCTACAAAGTCTTTTGCCATATAAGGTAACGTTCACAGGGTTTGGGGATCAGGACACGTACATAAAGGGGGAGGGTATGCTACTACCTCAGGCTGCACTCTGTTCCCTCAAGATTCACAGCCATCTCACATGCAAAATGCATTCACCTCATCCTGACATCACTGAGAGTGTCAGCCTACCACAGTCTTTAAGTCTCATCTAAATGTCATCGGCTCCACAGTCCCCAATCTCACTGTCTTAAGTCAGGTATGGGTGAGATCTGGGTATGATCCATCCCAGGGCAAAACTCCTGTCTGTGGTTTTATAACTTGTTTTAAAGTTATCTGCTCCCCCAAATCAGTGGGAGCCATAGGACACCACCTTTGACAATGGGAGGCAGTGGAAGGAAATGGCATCACTGGTCTCAACCAGTTACAGAATCCAGCAGGGCAAACAGTATTAGGTTTTTTTTTCTTTTTTTGCGGTACGCGGGCCTCTCACTGCTGTGGCCTCTCCCGTTGCGGAGCACAGGCTCCGGACGCGCAGGCTCAGTGCCCATGGCTCACGGGCCCAGCCGCTCCGCGGCATGTGGGATCTTCCCGGACCAGGGCACAAACCCGTGTCCCCTGCATCGGCAGGCGGACTCTCAACCACTGCGCCACCAGGGAAGCCCAACAGTATTAGGTTTTAAGGCCTGAGCATTTCCTCTGCTTGAGCTGCCTCCCCCAGAGCCATCCATTCTTTCCCATGAAGGGTGGCACTGGTATACGGTTGCCTACTTTCATCAGTCTGTTTGCTGCCTCTACGATTTCGGAAGTTGAACAGCCTTTCGTTTTGTTTCCTCTCTGTCCCTCGAAGTCCAAGCTGGCAGCGGTTCTGCTGGTGTAAAATGTTCAGCCTAGGGGGTCTCCTGTGTATGTCATGGGAATTCACTGTGTTACACAAGAGGTTTCTCCACAGATCATTTCTGGATAATCCCTTCTGTCTTCCTGGCTTCTGCTGAAATGGTTGAAGGGACCCATGAGTCACACACCTAATCTCTTCCAAAAGCCATCTGTCCTTTTAATCCTTCTGAGACACTAGAAAAGGGCTGCCTACCCACACCCTTGGCTTTTCCTCCAGAGCACACGTCCCTTGATAGTGAATCTCCTAGTTTTAGCATCTTTTACAGTTTTACTGTGGATATATAGATAAAATATATAGACATATGGATGGTTGATACTAGGATATGAGTACAGAGACGCTTACTACAAAAACGCTGTTGCAGCACACAGGGTCGCTAGGAAGCAGCATCAGCTGGGGCTGTTGGCCCGAACAGAAGGCAGCACAGCCTTGTACGTGCCCTTTATTCAGCCATAAAATCTTCCATGCCAGACCTGTGCCTGAGGTGGGTGTGGAGGTGGACATAGAAAACAAGAGAGGATTACAGTAAGGGCAGGCCTGTCGATCTTAAACAGTGATTTAAAGGCTAAGAGAGCTTTTTTTTTCTTTTTTTTTTGCAATAAGAGGGCCTCTCACTGTTGGGGCCTCTCCCGTTGCGGAGCACAGGCTCCAGACGCGCAGCCTCAGCGGCCATGGCTCATGGGCCTAGCCGCTCCGCGGCATGTGGGATCTTCCCGGACCGGGGCACGAACCCGTGTCCCCTGCGTCGGCAGGTAGACTCTCAACCACTGCGCCACCAGGGAAGCCCCTAAGAGAGCTTTTACAAAGCCCTGCAAGCCCCTGAGCCTGGCCAGCTGACGGTACATGGGAGTTAGGTTAGCCCACACACTAGATCTGACTGCAGTGCATGGGGCTTTTGTATTTGAAATAGTTGAGAACTTTACATAGATCTGTTTCGAGCAGTTTTTTTTTTTTTTTTTTTTTGGGGTACCAAATTACTTTATTTGAAGGAATGGTACTAAGGAAAGGACTTGTAGATATTTTGGTACAACTTACAGAAAAGGTAAGGTAACCCAAACATGCATGCACTGCCTTGGTGACCAGGGAAGTCACCCCTGTGGCTACGGGAAGCCAGCCTAAGGCTTAGCTCTCATTATCACTATTTCCGAGGGTGTGCTTGTCAAAGAGATACCGTGCCATGCCAGATTCGGGGGCCCCCATCGTGCGCAAGTTGGTTACGTGGTCACCCAATTCTTTAATGGATTTCACCTGCTCATTCAGATAATGAGTCTCAATGAAGTCACACAAATGGGGGTCATTTTTCTCAGTGGCCAGTTTGTGCAGTTCCAGCAGTGACTGATTCACACTTTTTTCCAAGTGTAGCGCACATTCCACTGCATTCAGCCCATTCTCCCAGTCATCACGGTCTGGTTTCTTGATGTCCTGAAGGAAGATTCGGCCACCCCGCTGGTTCTGCAGCTTCATCAATTTCTCAGCATGTTCCCTCTCCTCACAAGACTGGTGAAGAAAGTATTTGGCAAAGTTCTTCAAAGCCACATCATCGCGGTCAAAATAGTACGACATGGACAGGTAGACGTAGGAGGCGTAGAGCTCCAGGTTGATCTGGCGGTTGATGGCGGCCTCCGAGTCCTGGTGGTAGTTCTGGCGCACCTGCGAGGGGGACGCGGTCGTCATGGCGGGCGGCTGAGGTGAAACGGTGGCGGTGGCTGCGCGGCGCTGTAACGGCAGCGGGGACCTTGGGGCGATCGGAGGGCGCCGTGAGGTGGTGGTGAGGGCTGGCTCTGAGCGGCCGGCCGGAGCGGGGGACGAGCGCCGGGTTCCGTCCAAGCACTGTTGAAGCAAGAAACCGCGGCGACTCTCCGTGAGGACTGTGGCCTTGAGCAATTTTTGTGTGTAGTGTCTCCTATAAAACCACAGCTCCTTAAGGCAAATGTCCCAATTTCGTGGATGAGGTAAAATGAGAACAGGAAGGTAAATACTCAGGCCAATTTCACAGCAGAGTAAAAATTAAACAGAGAGGTTGAGTATGTCATGTGAGGCCACAGAGCTAAGAAGCGTTGGAATCAGGTTATGAATCCAGGCTGTCTGAACTGCCTTAAATGATAAGCAGGCATGAACAGGGGATTAGGTGGCTGGATGGAGGAGAAGGGTTCTGCAGGCAACAGGGACAGTTGATGTGGACAAAGACAGGATCAGTGTGAGCCTAGAGAGGAAGGACACTTAGCAGACTGTGGCAAGATAAGTGGATCAGGAAGGATGCTCTGAGTTTCAAGTACCAGAAAGTCTGACTATTGGCTGCAACACTAAAGGGAATTTATTGGTTCATACAACTGAAGATTGAGTAGTGGGCTCCAGGCAAAGACTCAACAAGTCAGTGATGTCACCAAATGCTAAGGATTATCTGCCTTTGGAGTCTGAAAGTGGCTGTCAGCCTGGAAGGGGACCCCCCCCCCATTCTCAAAATACTTCATTTCTTCCTTCACGGTGGCTGCTCCCATAGTCACCAGTCAGCAGAGAGGGGAAAAGGGAGAGGCACGTCCATACTTTTCAGGGCACCGCCTAAGTGGCACACATTCCTTTCATTCAATTCCCATTGGCCATTATTTACTGGCAAACCCACACCTAGCCGTCAGGGAGGTGGGACGTTGGCGTCTAGAAGAACGGCCTAAACTTTTAAGGAGAAAACTTGTCATGGTTCAGGCACGAGCTCCTGGTGTCTATCCCAAGTACATGTCTGTCCTGACTGATCCTGAACCACACACGTCAGCTGCTTCTCCCACTGGCCTGTGCTTCCCGCCTGCAGCCGTAGTTCCCGGCATCGGTTAGGCCCCGTGGCGGAGCAAGTCGCCACAGCGAAGCACCATGCTTGCAAAGGGGGAGCCGCTGGAAATGGCTGAAGTAGCCACTGGCCCCCGCCTTAATGTCACACCACATCTCGCTCCATCACTGACACCCTGAGGGAGGAGCCACCAGAACCTCCCTACCGGTGGCCTCTCCCCTGCCTCCCTGGTCCTGAACTGTGGCCCTTCTGATCCCCGCAACGTGCCCAGCAGACACCGACTGACTGTCCCTCTCTCATCTCCCCTGGACCTTACATTTCTTATTTTAAAAGGGTGACCTCAAGCCCTGGTCCAGCTCCGACAGACCCCTCGATTCCAGGAGGAGAAAATCTCAGAAAAAGCACAGGCCGCAAGTAAACGCCTGGGAGGCGAGTGGGGGTTGGCGAGGCCGAGCGAGCTCCTGCCCCTGGAGAGCACGCAGACGGGGGGGGGGGGGGGGCCCAGTCCAAAGGCCCCGTCCACTCAGAGGGATGAGGACGAGTAACTTCCACAGGGCGTGTCTGCTCTCACAGAACCAGACAGGGCAGGAGGGATGCGCACCTATAATTGCACACACATCTCGGGTAGCCTCACACACAACTGCGGGACCGCGTGTGCAGTACCAATAGTTGCCGCGGGACGTCTCGCCGTTGTTATCGCGAGAGCAAAACCAGCGCCCAGCGCCCAGTTAGAGGCACGTCGATTCCACTGCGCGAGCGCGGTTCTGCCAGCGCCCCTATTTTCCGTACGGGCGTGTCGGTGCGAGGTCCAGACGCCGAGGGAGGGCCGCCTACGGCAGCTCGCCTGCGTTTTCTTCCCCTCCCCGGGTCAATTCTCCATTTCGCTTCCGGTCCCTCACTTCTGGTCCTTCCCAGTTATCCTTCCGACTCAGAAGCCGGTGGTGCGGTCACCTAGAACCTTCAGTTCCCGTCCGGGTCGGCCGCGCCTGGGGCGGCGAAGCTCCCTGGGCTAGGCCCGCGCGGCCTGAGGGCGGCGCCCTCCTTCGCACCATGGTGAGTGGGGCGGGGAGTGAGGGAGGCGAGCGGCGGGCCGGGTCCGGGGCGCCCAGGGGGCGCCCAGGGGACCCCTGCGGGTTACAGGATCCGCGGCTGGGACGCGGGGGTCTTCGCGCCGCGTGAGCCCAGAGGCTGGAGGAAGCTGAGCCTCGGCGCCGCCGCGCCGTCCGCGGCCGTGCTTAGTCCGGACGGCGCGCTGTAGTTCCCCACCGGGAAGCCGAGGCTCCGGGAGGCGCAGGGCCGGCGCCGCGTCCCGTGGGGGGCCCAGCAGCGGTTCCTGCGCTATTTGCCTTGTGTCTGCTCTCCGGCTCCCCAACGGGGAGCTTCCCGAGGGCAGGGTATTCCCACCTCTGCCTCCTTAACGCCTGACGCGGTGTCTGGCGCGTTGTCGGGGTCCAGGGATGGACGAGTGGCCGGCGTCGTGTGACCGCAGGAGGGTGTGATCGCTGTAGTCGGGCGCTGGTGGTCGGCTGCTTCATTTGTTCTAGAAGCGCTCACGACGGAGCACGCAGAGTGCCGGCACAAGGGAGATACTCTTACATGTTGGTTACCATGGTGGTCTCATTAAGCGAAGCACACGACGCCGTAATACATGGTAGAAGGTGTATTGGATGCCACTGTAGACTGATGAGCCCAACATCCGGAGGACGAGAGAAACCGGTGGACAAAAAGCAGCCCTTTCTATTCTCCAGCCCTCGGAGGATATGCCCCGTATTACTGCTTCATACTAGCCGGCTCAGCCTCTTGATTCTGCCTCTTGTTTCTGAACTCTGACAAACATAGGGAATCGCCGGTCTCCGTTCCCTAGCAGGACAGAAGGATCCCTGGGCCTGGATGTTTCTGGCAAACTGTCACCAACACACATTCATATTTGTGGGTTTCCATCACCCCTGGTACATGCCCTTATCCCAAGATTTATGGTTTTTTGGGGGAAATTCCTATGAGTTCCCTCAAAAGGAAGAACCGTGACCAAATTCCTAGTACCCAGCGTGGTGTTTCAAGCATGGAGTAAGCATTGAGAAATATTAAATTAAATACTTAGAATCTGTAGGCTTTAATGAAATAGGTAGGACACAGCCTCAGCCCTCAAGATGATGGCTTCTCCTGGGAGAACCTCTGTTTTATTCCTTAGTAGATAGTGTGTTCATTTATCTACCAAACAAGCTTGACAAGTTTGTTTCTGTGTCCATTGAAAGGGAGAGTCAAAAAGATTTAAATTGAGCTCGCTTTTGCTGAGCATCTGATGACTTCATGTATTTACCTCATTAAATCATCATGACATCTTTATGAGATAAAAGGTATGATCCCTGCTGTAAAGGTGGGGGAACTGAGGCTTAGAGAGACAACTTCTCAGGGATGGTAAGTTGGAGAGCTGGGAGTGAAACTCAAGTCCTTGACTCAGCAAGTACTCTTTCTACTTACACTACGACCCGGAAAATGTGTTCGTGCCTAGCACTGTGTTTCAGGGATAATTGACTTGACATTAGTGCAACAGTATTTATATAAAACTCACTTTGTAAAAGTCAGTCTTTCCTCCCTCAAATTTCACTGGCAGGGAACAGTCAATTGTGATGCTGGGTGGAAATTGTGTGGTAGGTATAAACCCAGACAAAGCGGGGCAGCCTGGCTGGGATGAAGGGGCCACAGAAGAATTATCTGGGACGGTGATAACACAGGTAAATTCTGAAGGCTGAGTGGCCAGATCCAAGGGGTTTGGGGGAGTGGAGGAGTAAAGAATTTAGGTAGAGAGAGCAGCATAAATAAGGCCACAGGATGTGGGCATCTTGTGATCGATGTTGCGATTGTTACTGTGTTCGTGCACTAGTGTAGGCATTCTGCTTGTGCCTGTGTCCTTGTGGAACTTTTCTCTACAAAGTAAATGAAACGTTTTTCTAGAAAGTAAAAGAAAAAGCTCTTTAAACATGGGTGTTTTTCTTCCCTTCTCTCCTTTTAGGCCCGAAATGCGGAAAAGGCCATGTACGTATCAACTCGATTTCGTCTGTAAATTTCTGTTTGGTCTTTTGATATAGCTTTCTTTCTCTACCTGTGTTGAAATAGTATTCGTATAGTAGTTGCCCATACATTTGTTTTCCCCATAGTGTTTTCTGACAGCTCCCAGAACTTATTCTGGATGAACGTTGGCTCACCTGGGGTGGTGCAGGGGCTGTTAGAGTGACAGCCCATAATATTAGTCTTTTTAACATCTGGATGTGTTGCTCACCACAGTGGCCTGATGAGTAGAGTTTCCCACAGTCCAGTCCTTACACGCCGTATGGGTGGAAGGAACACAAATCCTTATAAGCCCTACTTTTTGGAACATGGAAACTCATAACTTCTCTGGTTTCTTGATTGCAATATGTATATATGTTTATGAGTGATGGTTGACATTCAGTATGGTCATGAGCAGATTTACCCATCCAGGAACTTGGATGATAAGAGATCTTCGAGCAGGATCTAACGGAGTCTCCTCTGTTCCCGGTAGGACGGCCTTAGCAAGATTTCGCCAAGCTCAGCTGGAAGAGGGAAAAGTAAAGGTTGGTTTAAATCTTCCTCATGAATTTTTAAATTATTGAGGAGAAGTGCAGTACAACTCCCTCCTGAACAGACTTCAGACTCCAGATCTTCCTCTTTCTCGTCCATGCTTTCCTGTGTCTTATGAGTCTGTACACTTGAATCCCAGGTAGCTGGGGCAGTGTGATGATCTGACTACTTGTGCTTCTGTCTGCTCTGTAATATGATGATTGGGTCTCCATGTTATCCCAGCACTGTCTAATACTGACTAGTACAAAGTGGGGTGTGCTGTGAGGAGCAGCTCTAACCTGAAACCAGTAATGACCTTAGCTCATGGAGACTCAGCCAGGTTAGGGGTGATATGTACTGTTGTTTGGATATTTTTGTTTTTTTTTAATTATACAGACACCCGCGCACACACCTGTATACGCACGGACATGCATGTATGTTTATGTTTGTTCTAAACACTGAGAGCTGTCATTCCCTAAGTAGTATAAGTATGCCATGAAATGGGTATAACCAGTGTACTTCGCCATCTCTCTGTAACAACTGACCCTGAACAACACGGGTTTGAACTGCATTGGTTCACTTACACACGGATTTTTCCAACGGTAAATACTACAGAACTACACGGTTTGTGCTTGGTTGAATCTGTGGATGCGGAGGAAACACGGATGCTGAAGCCCGACTGTAAGTTATACTTAGGTTAACCCCCATGTTGCTCAAGGGTCAAGTGTACTGGACTTTTATGTTGTTTCCAGTGGCTGCCTGTACCAGGTGCAGTGCAGTGAATGTTTTTGCCTGTGTAGTTCTCTCCTAAGGAGAGGCTGCAGCGTGAGCCATAAGGGTTGAAGAAGAGCACCTGCAACCGAAGCTGCAGATGTCTTTAGCCTGTTCGACATTTCAGGCTTCAGGCCTGAGTCAGTCATGAGTGTTGCACAAAGCCTGTAATCTCATACAGCACAGCGACAGCATGTGTTTGGCTTTTCCTTAGGAACGAAGACCCTTCCTTGCCTCGGAGTGTACTGAGCTGCCCAAAGCCGAGAAGTGGAGACGACAGGTACGTGCTGGGTGAATCTGATCTTACAGGAGAACAGGTCTCTGATAGCTTTTGTACCTACATGACTCTTCAACCAGAATTCTAAGAATTTTTCATTACTCATTTTGAATTATTTTTTCTTATGCTTTCAGACTTACTCAAAAGTCATAAAAATATATTGCCTTTTATTTTTTTCACAGATCATTGGAGAGATCTCAAAAAAAGTGGCTCAAATTCAGAATGGTAAGCTAGCTTGTCTGTTTAAAGTGCTCGATTCTCAAATCCACCATTAGCCTTGGGGACGTCAGCCTCCTCTCTCAATAATCAATAGAACAAGTAGGTACAAAATGAGTAAGAACATAGAAGAACTGAACAATAATATCGATCAGTTTGACCTAGTTGACCTTTATGGAACACTCCACCTCACAGAAAAGAGTACATTTTCTTTTTTTAAGAGCAAATGGAATATTCACCAAAATAAAGCATATTCTAGGTTATAATATGAATGTTAGCAAACTTAAAATAATTAAAATTTTGCAAAGTATGTTCACTGATTATAACACAGTTAACATAGAAATGGATAACAAAAAGACATCTGGAAAATTCCTAACTATTTAGAAGTTAGACATACTTCTAAACAACCCATATATCTAAGAGGAAACCTCAAGGAGATTAGAAAATATTTTGAATTGAATGAGAATGAAAACATAATGTCAGAATTCAGGGGACAAAAAAATTTATGGCATGCATGTAAAGCAGCGTTTAGGTGAAAATTTATAGCATTAAAATAAAAGAAAATAAGAAAGGTCTCAAAGTCAGTGATCTAAGCTTCTACCCTAAGAAACTGAAAAGGAAGAGCAAATTAATTCCAAAGTAAGCAGAAGGAAGGAAATAATAAAGAGAAGAAGTCAATGAAATTGAAAACAAGATGAATAGAGAAAATAGAACAAAAGCGGGTTCTTTAAAAAGATCAGGACTTACCTGGTGGCGCAGTGGTTAAGAATCCGCCGGCCGATGCAGGGGCCCACGTGCCACATGCAGCAGCAACGGAGACCCAGCGCAGCCAAAAATAAATAAATAAAATTAAAAAAATAAAAAGATCAGTAAAATCGATAAACTTCCAATCAGACAGACTGATCAAGAAAAAACGAAAACACATGGGACTTCCCTGGTGGTCCAGCGGTATAGAGTCCGCCTTCCAATGCAGGGGACACAGGTTCAATCCCTGGTCGGGGAACTAAAATCCCGCATGCCACAGGGCAACTAAGCCCGTTTGCCACAACTAGAGAGCCTGTGTGCCACAAACTACAGAGCCCATGCTCCCTGGAGCCTGCACTCCACAACTAGGGAGAGAAAGCCCGCACGCTGCAACAAGAGAGAACTCCGCACACCACAAAGAAGAGCACACACGCCGCAACAAGCGCCGCAACGAAAGCCCGCGTGCAGCAACAAAGACCCAATGCAGGCAAAAATAAAAACAAAAACCAAAAAAAAAACCTCAGCTAACTGGGAATTGAAGGGAACTTTTTTTTTTCCCCGATAAGGCACTTCTACCAAAAAACCTATAGTTAGCTATAGGTTGAATGCTTTCCTCCTAAGATCAGGAACAAGGTGGAGATATCCATTCTCACCACTTCTATTCAGTATTGTACTGGAATTCCTTTCCAGTACAATAAAGCAAGAAAAGGAAATAAAAGGCCCAAAGATTGGAAGGGAAGAAAAATGCTCTGTTCTGAGGTGACATAATTTTCTATGTAGAAAATCCCAAGGAATCTACAGAAAGATTTCTAAAATGAATAAATGAGTTTAGCAAGATCACAGAATAGAAAGTCAATACACAAAAATCAATTCTGTTTCTGTGTACTAGCAGTGAACATTTGGAACTAGAACTTTTATTAAAGTGTTATTTACAGAAGCATCAAAACACAAGAAATACTTAGGTATAAATCTAACAAAATATATATATGATCTGTATGCTGAAAACTATAAAACAGTGATGAAAGAGTCAAAGAACCAATCAAATGGAGACATAGACAGTGTTTGTGGATGGGAAGACTCAATATAGGAAAGGTGTCGATTCTTTTTCTTTTCAAAATCTATCATAGTCAAAATCCCAGCAGTGGTTTTTGGTTTATGTTGACGAACTGTTTCTAAAATTTAAATGGAAAGGCAAAGGAACTAGAATAGCCAAAACAGTTTTGAAAAAGAAAAAAATTGGAGTATTCATAACACCTAATTTCGTGATTTAATGTAAAGCTAAAGGTATTCAAGACAATTGGGTATTGGTGAAAGATAGACACACAGACCAGTTGAACAGAGTAATAAGTCCAGAAATAGGGGCACACGTATGTGGTCAGTTGACTTGACAAAGTACAAAAGCAATTCAGTGGAGAAGGGGAGGGTTTCTCCCTTGGAATAGCTCCAACTGCTCCCGGCTCCCATCCGCCGACAACACCACCTCAGCAAACTCCCTGTCGTCATCCCTTTAAATCCATCCCTTAGGGACTTCCCTGGCGGCCCAGTGGTTAAGAACCCGCGCTTCCACTGCAGGGGGCACAGGTTCGATCCCTGGTAGGGGAAGTAAGATACGGTGTGCTGCGCAGTGCGGCCATAAAATAAGTAAAAAATAAAGACTATAAATCTGTCCCTTAGGCTCAGTTCTCAGGCCCTAGTCTTTGTCAAAGGTGTTCCCACTTAACAAGGTGGGAACAAGCCCTTTCCTGAAAGGACTAGACTAACACAGACTGCCGCCAACCCTAATGCTGACGCTGCCTCACTGCATCTTGGCTGACATTGATTGGACGCTGTGTCCCCACCTCTAAGAATTTACTGTTTCAGTGGTGGTATAAATGGAGCTGCAGCATTGCTTCAGTTTGTATTTCTGCGGTTGCTAATGAGGATGAAGTTTCTTCCCCCCCAGCACTGCTGAAACTGTGCACGATTGTTGCCCTTCCATGATTTCGGTGTGGGTGGGTTTTCTTATAAATTGAAATAGTATCTTTGTGTTATGCACCTTTTTAGGTGTTGACATTCATTCTTAAGGCTACAACATCGACTGGTATTTTCAAGAAACGATAGGACGTTTTTGTTTTCTAGCTGGTCTAGGTGAATTCCGAATTCGTGACCTGAATGATGAAATTAACAAGCTGCTAAGAGAGAAGGGACACTGGGAGGCCCGGATCAAGGAGCTGGGTGGTCCTGACTATGGGGTAAGTAAGCCGCAGCCCTGGGGGCTGAGCTCGGGTGCTGTCTGCCTGCAGGGTGGCTCCTGCTGCCCCCGCAGTCCTGCCAGAGTAGGCACTGGAGAGATGAAAGGAGGCTTGAAAGTGCCTGTTGCGCGTGGACAGGAAACGTGAAAGCATGGGCCAGTGGTGCTTAAAGGTCCACAGCGCAGGCCTCAGTACGTGTACTGGCCAGGTGTTCCAGAGTGAGCCGCTCGGGCTCCCTGGGCCTCTTGTTTGAAATGACCGTGGCCCCTCACAGCCTTCTCTGAACTCCTTGAGAATTGGGGCAACCATTCCATTGTCGGCTTCTGTACTCAAGGGGGCCCTGGGGACATGGCTGTGTTTCCTTTCTCTGGATTCTTTAAATGCAGTATTCTAGAACAGTGACTTTCAAGCTTTTAGGCCCATGACCCACTATAAAATAAACACACACACACACACACACACTCACTATATCACAACACAGTACTGAAAAGATGCTTGGTATATGTTGCTGCACTTTGATATTTTCTATTCTGTTCTATCTTTTTTTTTTCTGTTCTATCTTGATTTTTAAAAAATTGATGATTATGACCCATGTAATGGATTTCACGACCCGCCAGTGGGTGTCAACTTTGAAAAATGCTGCCCCAGGCCCTGCCCCATTTTCCCAGGTCATTTGAACCAGTAGTATGTAGTCAGTGGACTGTAGTATGTTATGTAAGAAATATGTGCAGTTTTTCTATGTATTTAATGCAAAACCACAGTTCTCACGTTAGTACCTGGCCTAAAAATGAGGCACTTATTCTTGTTGCAGAAGGAAAGGCACTTCCACTCCTGGAGTACCTGTGCTAGGAACGTTCTCACTGCATCTTCAGTAGTTCTGTGATGGTGATTTTGCTCCCTGTCAGACTGCTTTAGTGCAGGGGTTTATTACCCTTCCTGGAAGGGTTACAAAATTAATATGTACAATATTCTTAAGTTCCGCCACCCAGAGTCAACAGTAATGTTTTTATGTATTTCCTTGTAGAGTCTTTTTTTTTTTATTAATTTTTTTTATTTGTTGGCTGCGGTGGCTCTTCGTTGCTGTGCGTGGGCTTTCTCTAGTTGCGGTGAGCGGGGGCTACTCTTCATTGCAGTGCGCGGGCTTCTCCTTGCCGTGGCTTCTCTTGTTGTGGAGCATGGGTTCTAGGCGCGTGGGCTTCAGTAGTTGTGGTTCGCAGGCTCTAGAACACAGGCTCAGTAGTTGTGGCGCATGGGCTTAGTTGCTCCGTGGCATGTGGGATCTTCCCGGACTGGGGCTCGAACCCGTGTCCCCTTCATTGGCAGGCAGATTCTTAACCACTGCGCCACCAGGGAAGCCCTAGCGTCTTTTTAATGCTAAAGAATTTTATTTTCATTTTCTATGTACAAAAGTAACATTTAGGGAATTCCCTGGTGGTCCAGTGGTTAGGACTCAGCACTTTAACTGCCGTGGCCCAGGTTCTGTCCCTCGTCGGGGAACTAAGATCCTGCAAGCCGCTCAGTGCAGCTGAAAAAAAAAAAAGTGACACGTTTAGAGTTTGTTTTACAAGATGGTGGTGATGGTTGCATGACGCTATGAATGTACTAATACCACTGACCTGGACACTTAAAAATGGTTAAGACGGCAAATTTTATGTTACGTGTATTTTAGTACAATAATAAGAGAAAAAGTAATATATTGTTATTAAGTTCAGAAAAGTACAGAGCAGGACACCATGCAGTCACGGTCCTTTTAACTAGGAGCAACTTCTGTAATATTTCCGTCCATTGTTTTTCCGTGAGTCCTGTAACTGAGGTCATACTCATGTATGTACAATTTTGGTTCTAGGTTTTATACTTCTTTTCAAAATGGTAACTTTGGTTGTATAAAGAGTACCTACTTTTATGTCAAAAAAAAAGAATACATAACAAAAATATAAGAATTCTAAAGTATAAAAAAATTTTATATATTCTATGTGTGGTACAGATTACATTATATATCTTCCTACCACTGAGAAATGACTGCTATTAACATTTTCTACTTATCTTTCTAGAATTTTTTCTATATACATATATATTTATTTTTACAGATAATGATTCATTATTCTAACTATATGCTTTGTTCACTTAACAGTCTATCAGACACATATGTTCATGTCAGTAAATAATCATTTATATAATCGTTTCAAAAAGCATTTCTGAGCTCATAGAAAGTTCCACAAATTGTATAGAGAAATCCTATGTACCCTTTATACAGATTTACCAGTTTTTAACATTTTTCTGTATTTGCTTTATCATTTTCTGTGTGTACCTTGAGATTTATTTTCTCTGAACCGTTTGAGGCTTAAATACATCATGTTCCTTTACTCCTCAATACTTAAGGGGTATTTCCTAAGAAATACTTTTGTGTGTATTTCCTAAGAATAAGAATGTTCTCTTATATAACCATGGTAGAGTTTAAGACATTTAACTTTGATACAGTCATTTGGCTGTTTTATTGATTTTCATCCTTTATGGCCTTTCCCCTTATAGTACAGAGCCTTGTCCAGGGTCACATACTGTATGAAGTTGTCAACATCATCATTTTTAGTGGAGAGAATTCCATCTTCTGGATATTTCATTTGTCTTCTACTGCTTGCCATTTAGGTTTTTTGCAATTTTTTAAAGCTTTTTTCACTTAACATTATATTGTGTTTTTCTGAGTCAATAAAAGTGTTCCATATGAACCATCATTTTTAAGCTATAGGATATATTCCATCCTGAATATGCTATAATTTACTTAAATCATCCTCTTACTGTTAGGTATTTAGGTTGATTTTTAAGGGACTAAAAAAAGTACCTAAATATATTTCTGTTGTACATGAATATTTTCTACCTTTAGCATTATTATCTTAAATCTATTTGCAAACATGGAAATACTGGGTTTAAGGATCAGATCCATTTTCTCTTCTTCCTTCCCAATAAGAAAGTTGGCCCTAAAATGCTGGATCATGAAGGGAAAGAAGTCCCAGGAAATCGAGGTTACAAGTACTTCGGAGCAGCAAAAGACTTGCCTGGCGTCAGAGAACTGTTTGAGAGAGAACGTAAGTAACTGATGTTCGCCAGGGTGTTAGCCTGGAATTCTTGGTCCTGCTTGTAACAGTAGACATGCCGTCTGCAGGGCACTCTTCCTATGCCATTTCTTAGCCACACAGCAGCCCCGTGTCCTCAGAGGATTATCGTTCTCAGGTGGGCACACAGTTGGGGTGAGAACGGGAACCCAGAACTGACAGGTATCAGGTTGTAGGCTCTGCCCATACCCGTCTGAGTGTGAACGAGGAATCTCCCTGTTTGCAGTTCAGTCAGCTTCATTTTCAGTTACGTGTTTAGTTGAAAAAACTCTTAACTGAAGGACACATGACACCTTGGGCCAAACCCCGAAATGCACAAGTGGAAGAGAGTGAATCCAAGCCGGGTACCCTCTCCACTCCTGCCCTTCCCTCCACAGCCCTGGGAGCCTCCAAAATGCAGTTGGAAACCGCTGGTCTGGAATTTCTGTGTATCTTAATTTTGACTTTTCAAGAAGCAGGCCAAGCATTTTATAGAAAGCAGTGTGGAAAGTAGAGAAGGATGAGACCAGGATTCCTCCCACTGCTGGCGTTCTGCTGTTTCCTTCCAGTCGGTTTTCCTATTTGTTTAAACATACAATTCTGCTCATTCTTAAATTCATTACGCACACACTGGTTTTGCATGCGTGTTTGACATCACTTAAAATAATTCAGAGTTTAGATGTCATGCCGTTTATTATGAATGCAGTATAATTTTATTATAGATAAGTTGTAAAATACAGAAAATCAGAAAAAACACCCACGTTTTCACAACTTATAGATGATGGTTGTTGACATGTTGGGGTGTATCCCCTTCCAGAGTTTTAAGGCTCCTAAAATGAGAGTGTGCTGTGTATGTTACTTTTTTTTTTTTTGCTTTTACATTGTTTCTAAATTTATTTTTATTTATTCCAGTCATAGAGTGTTTTTTTTTTTAACCAAGAAAGTGCGCAACTTAGTCTTAATGCGTATAATGGAAATAGTAGCACAGGGACTTCCCTGGTGGTCCAGTGGTTAAGACTCTGTGCCTCCACTACAGGGGGCACGGGTTTAAACCCTGGTTGGGAAACTAATATCCCGGATGCCGCATGGCAAAAAACCAATAAAAATAGTAGCACAGTCCCCTTGACCCCCATCCCAGTGCCCTGCTAGAGATGACCCGTCACTGTTATTATCTGTTTCGAATGTTCCCTTCCAGCCTTTTCCATGCACTTCCATGCTCATTTCATCAACTAAATTACATCAGCATAAGTGACAGGTGACTCAACCCCAATTACTTTAGGCAGAAAAGTCTATAAATTTATTGGCTCACATAACTGACAAGTTTGCCTTCAGGAATGGCCGGTTCCACGTCACATTGCTCCGTTTTGCAGTTTTGGCTTCTATCCTGTGAGCTTTTTTCTCTGTCTCACTCTCCTCTTGTGGTGGCTGGTTGTCCGTCATCGACTTAAATTTTGTTCTCTCTCAGCAACAGATTTCCGCCCCCCCCAACAATTGAAGCAGAATTCCCAGAATTGAGTCTGGTTGGCTTTGGTTGGATCACAGCTCCATCCTGTGGCCGGAATGCATGCAGTGCTCTGAGCCTGCTAGGTTCAGCCCCGTCCTGGATGCAGCCCACGCGGTGGAGGGGTGGACAGGGTTGTGTGTGCAGTCCGTCCATGTCCTCTCATGGTTCTCCTTAGAATGCCAAGTGATGTGACGGATTAGAGAGTCTCAGGGATTAACCGTACTTGGTGTGACCATCCCTCCTTTGGTATTTAGTTATTTCTAGATGTTTATAATTATAACATTTTTGCTGATCTGGTGCTTGAAACAATGTATTATTTTTATTTTTTTGTTTCCCCCCCATTACTAATGAAATTGACAATCGAATTCAGTTACTAAATGAAATTTTCATACATAAGAGTTTTTTCTTCTTCAATTATCAGCTTTCATTCTTTGACTAATCTGTTGGATTGTCATTTCCCTTTTGATTTTCAAGTATTACTAAATATTCTGAATGGTAATTCTTAGTCTGAAAGTATTTTCTTCAGGAATTTCTCATTTATCTTTTGTGTTTATAGTTTCTTTTGTTTTATCTGTATTCTTAGTTTTTTCATTAAATATTATGGCATTTTCTGTGTTGTTAAAGCACCTGTGAAGCAGCATTACTGGGGCTGCAGGATCGCCTCCCCTCCGCCATGCTGGAATTGCAGATCACAGTCCTTGGCTGTCCAAGTTTTCACTGTTGTATGAATAACGCTGTGATGCACACCTCTGTCCGTAAAGCTTTGCCAGCTTTTGTTTCTGTTTTTTTAAATTAGGATAGATTCCTTCTAAATGGACTAATTGGGTCAAAGATTTCAACCCTGATTTAATTTTACTTATTTATTTATTTTAAATTTATTTGTTTATTTACTTTTGGTTGCATTGGGTCTCTCTTGCAGTGTGCAGGCTTTCTCTAGTTGCAGCGAGCAGGGGCTACTCTTCGTTGCGGTGCACAGGCTTCTCATCGTGGTAGCTTCTCTTGTGGAGCACAGGCTCTAGGTGTGCGGGCCTTTAGTAGTTGTGGCTCGTGAGCTCAGTAGTTGTGGCTCAGTAGCTGTGGCGCAAGGGCTTAGTTGTTATCCGCAGCATGTGGGGTCTTCCGGGACCAGGGCTTGAACCCGTGTCCCCTGCGTTGGCAGGTGGATTGTTAACCACTGCGCCACCGGGGAAGCCCTTAACACTGATTTTAAAAAGGGTGGTACCACGTATATAATCCCATTACTAGTGTAGAGAAGTGCCTATTTCATGATATTTTGATGAACACACCTACTATATGCCTGCGTAACACTGTATGAGGAGAAGGCTTGAGTGAGATTATGACGGGGAATTCAGCTAAGCTGATAAATTCTTTCTTTTAGCTCTTCCTCCTCCAAGAAAGACACGCGCTGAGCTCATGAAGGCGATCGATTTTGAATACTACGGTTACCTAGATGAAGACGATGGTGTTATTGTGCCTTTGGAACAGGAATATGAAAAGAAACGTAGGTCTGCGGGCATTTCATTTCATTGCTGCTGGCATCTGGTTTCTTTTCTCTCCCTTGGAAATGGGGTTTTATTTGTATTTTTATAAGGAACATTTTTTTTTAGGGCTTTTTAAAAAATTGAAGTAGTTGATGTACAATATTATGGAAGTTACAGGTGTACAGTATAGAGATTCACAATTTTTAAAGGTATATTCCATTAGCAGTTATTATAAAATATTGGCTGTATTCCCCATGTTGTATAATATATCCTTGTATAGCTTATTTTATCTTTTTTTAATCCAATTTTTTTTAATTTAATTAATTAATTAATTTATTTATTTTTGGCTGTGTTGGGTCTTCGTTTCTGTGCGTGGGCTTTCTCTAGTTGTGGTGAGCCGGGGCCACTCTTCATCGCGGTGCGCGGGCCTCTCACTGTCGCAGCCTCTCTTGTTGCGGAGCACAAGCTCCTGTCGCGCAGGCGCAGTAGTTGTGGCTCACGAGCCTAGTTGCTCCGCGGCATGTGGGATCTTCCCAGACCAGGGCTCGAACCCATGTCCCCTGCATTGGCAGGCGGATTCTCAACCACTGCGCCACCAGGGAAGCCCCAGCTTATTTTATCTTAATAGTTTGTACCTCTTAATCCCCTACCGCTAAATTGCCTCTTCCTCCTTCCGTCTCTCCACTGGTAACCACTAGTTTTTTCTCTGTATCTGTGAGTCTGCTCCTTTTTTGTTATATTCACTAGTTTGTTGTATTTTTTAGATTCCACATATAAGTGATATCACACAGTACTTGTCTTTCTCCATCTGACTTACTTCACTTAGTATGATAATCTGTAGGTCCATCCATGTTGCTGCAAATGGCATTATTTCATTCTTTTTTATGGCTGAGTAGGATCCCATTGTGTATATGCATGTGTGTGTGTGTGTGTGTGTGTGTGTCTGTGTCTGTGTGTGTGTGTGTGTGTGTGTGTGTGTGTATATATACACCACATCTTATTTACCCATCCGTCTGTTGATGGGCACTTAGTTTACTTCCATATCTTGGCAACTGTAAATAGTACTGCTATGAACATTGGGGTGCATGTATCTTTTCGAATTAGTGTTTTTGTTGTTTTCAGATATATACCCAGGAATGGAATTGCTGGATCACATGGTAGTTCTAGTTTTAGTTTTTTGAGAACCTCGGGGTGCTGAACTGGGGAGGATCTGGGTGTGTCCGCTAAAAGCTGCCCTCCCATCTGATTCCTGTGTGATTCCTGCCCGCCGGGGCAGGATGAAGGTGACCCTTTCCAGCAGGGAGGCCTTGGCCTCGCCCTGCATGGGGTTTGACGCTTTCTTAGAGGCCAGAGTGAGTAACGCCTGCTCTCCCTTGTGTGCAGTCAGAGCCGAGTTAGTGGACAAGTGGAAAGCAGAGAGAGAGGCCCGGCTGGCAAGAGGGGAGGAGGAGGAGGAGGAGGAGGAGGAGGCCGACATCTACGCCGTTGCCGACCAGGAGGTACTGGGGGGCGGCGCGGGACCCCCTGGCGCTCACCGCCTTCTCTGTGCCGCGGAGGATGGGGGCGCGGTAGCAGGAAGCGCAGACGAGGGGCCAGGGTCGAGGCCCGGCTCTTGGCCCTGCCGCCGTCTGAGGCTTCGGCCTTCTCTCCTAGACGGTGGGGATGAAGGGCACCTTCCGGGTTCACAGGGAGGGTTCCAGAGAGGAACGGCTGTGAGGGCACTTGTTAAACTGCTTTACACCGGGGATGACTTACGTGCATCTTAGAGATGGGCCCTCCTGAACATGCTGGAGTCGGATTTATAAACACATTTGAAGCCAGTGTGTTTTAGCCCATGACCTCATTGTTTCTGCTTAAATGGCAGTGTCAGTAACTCTTCTGTAGTCTTAACCACTGTCTGTTACAGCTGGAAATCAGCCCAGAGCAGAGAAGGGACTTCCTCAGGGGGTCCCGGTTGGGGATGGAGCTGTGATCCCTCAGGCAGAGCCCCCTTGCTCCCAGCACCCCTGCAGGCCTTGCTCCCTGGGCAGGTCCAGGATGGAACTGATTTGCTCGACTGAGCAAGGGGAAGGGAAGCACCCATGCCTGGACTATGGGTCAGGCCCTGTGTGATGTCACATGGCTTGCCATGATGTCAGTGGCAAGGAAGCAGGCTCAGAGAGGCTTAGCGACTTAGTCAGCGTCACACAGGATCTAGCAGACCTGAGGTTCGTGCCCTCAGGCAGGCATTTGAAACAGGATGGCAGCGTGCCCTAGGAAGATTTTCTCTAGATGCAAATAATCCATTTGCTCTTTCAAGGGATGTTTGTTTAATGAGTGGCTACTGTGAGGCCCACTCGAGGGGCAGGACAGCAAACACGCTTCGCTTGTAGCTTGAAGCCCTGGGGGACAGTCCGGTCAGCAGACACGGTGGGAAATGGCAGCTGTGATAGGAGCTCTGGGTAGCGACATGGTGAAGGCAGGGCCAGTGAAGGCTTTGCTGGGGACGTGACCCTTCAGCTGAGATCCGGAAACAAGGGGGAAGTAACCAAGCGAAGAGGCAGCAGGGAACAGCGTGAGTGGACGAGCCCATGGGAGCGCGGGGGACAGAGGACGGGCCGGTGGCTGGAGGGCAGAGTGGAGGCTGCGGGAGGGGAGGTGGGCCAAGCAAGGGCCCCGGCTCCCCTGGGGAAGCATTTTCCTTTACCATGAGAACGATGGAAAGCCATCAGAGGATGTAAAAATTATTTATCCTGAAATGCTTAAGATTTAGGGGAAGTTGCACAGCTGCTACCGAGGGTCCTGTGTCATCCTTCACCCAGTGGCTTGCACAGTGACAGTGCAGTGTCCACCGAGGGACCTGACGTGGTGTGACGCGCGTGGGCAGTGCTGTGTCTTTCATCACATGTGTGGATTCTTTGGGGCTACAACAGCCTTCCTTGTTGGAGTCTGCCCTGAGGAGTGGAACTTCCACCCTGGGCTCGCCTCGGTGGATGCAGCCCGACTTTCCCAGAGCCCTGGGACCAGTTTCTCCTACCAGCGGCGTCTGAGAGCTTCCGCCGCGGCTTTCCTGGCAGCTGGTGACCTGCGGCGGGGGGTGGGGTCAGGGTCCGGCCCAGAGACCTGCGGGCAGTGGACCTGCGGGCAGTGGACCTGCCTCCACACAGGCCTCCTCTCTCCTCATGCCTCCAGGGCTACGTCATTCCTTAGGTTATGAGTGATCTCTGCTGACTCACAGGCAGCCTCTGAGTGATGCTTTCTTCTTTATGTGCTTTTTTCAAGTTTAATTAAAAAAATAGATAATGTATTCTCAAGACTCAAAACACAAAAAGTATACAGAGATTTAACAGAGCTTATCTTTCGCAGCCCTGTCCTCTGTCCGCTGGCTCTCACTGAGATCACTGGCTTCTCTTTTCTTCCTCCTACAAGAGGTCGCGCAAAACACAGTGTTCTGTTGCTTCTTGTACTTAACGCTGTGTCTTGGGTGTCTCTGTGTCTGAGAACAGAGCTTCCTCGTCGCTGTTTTTCCTTTTCAATGGCTGCAGGCTGGTGCACGTTATGGCGGTGCCAGCCCTTACTAACGGCCTCCTCTGCGCGGCCTCTGGTTGTGCTCTTTTGCAGTCTGATGAGGAGGGCGGCCAGGAGAAAGGAGGGGAGGACGGGCAGCAGAAGTTCATCGCTCACGTCCCGGTGCCGTCGCAGCAAGAGGTAGGACAGGCTGGGGGCCGCCTGGCCTCCGAGGGGCCCCACGGGGCTCTGTGTGGTTTTCTTGGTCCTTCCTGTCCCTTTGGGCGGCTCTCACTCCCTTCCACAGGGCGTTGGTCCCTGGGCTCAGGTTAGGGCGAGGCGTCCAGACGAGGCACCGTTCCGTCTACCTTGGAGGCAGCAGTCCAGCACTCTGTTGCTCACCTGCTCCCCTGGCGGAGATCGGGGCCCTCGGACGCAGGGTGCTGGGCTCCCGTCCGGGCCCAGGCGGCGAGTTGGCCTTGTGGGGCGTGGGGCCTGCGGCCTGAGCCCTCCGCTTTCCCGCCCGCAGATCGAGGAGGCGCTTGTGCGGAGGAAGAAGATGGAGCTCCTGCAGAAGTACACCAGCGAGACGCTGCAGGCCCAGAGCGAGGAGGCCAGGCGGCTCCTGGGCTACTAGGGCCGAGCTGGGGCCTCCGCCCAGCCCCGTGGTGGGTGAGCAGCCCCGGGCTGCCTGCCACTTCTCCTCCTCCCTCCCTCCCCTGCGTGCTGACCGAGGGCCGTTTGCCTGCCGGGATGCCCTGGTGTCACCTCGTCCCGGCGTTTTGCTGACGTGTGAACCCACTTACTTCGGTCTTGAGTGTGTAGGACACGCTGCTCCCTGTCAGCCTTTGAGTGTCTCACGTAGCCTCCTCCTGTCATTTGGTGCGGAGGGCGACCAGTTAGTGACACTCCTAAAAAACGCAGACGTGTTTGTAACTCCTCTGGAAGAATGAGAAGGTGTGTGGGGCCCGAGCCCACATCCCACACGTCGCAGCCTGCGGAGCTCCACCCTTCGGGGCAGCCCTGCCCTCAGTTCAGACCCCTCAGCTGGCCTTGCTCCTTCCTGCCCAGGTGGCAGGAGTTTGAGTTTGCTACTGCTGTCTAGGACTGGTTCTGCAGAGAGCTATTTTTATTAAAGATTTTTGTGTGAAAGGCAACCTCCGGGTTTGGGCTGCCTGTCTTGAGGCCGTGTCTGCACTGGGACCTAAGTGAGGTTCACAGTCACCGCAGGGGACGGGGTTCCGAAACATGCAGCCCTGGTGTGGGAGGGCTGGGACCAGCGGCAGCCCGTCTGGGAGCTGAGGAGGTGGTGGGGCCGTCCTCCCATGGCCTCCGCACCCACGGCTGCGGATCAGGGCTGAAGCGGCAGGGCCCGTGGCGCCGGCCTTTGGGGAGCACACAGGGGATGCCCGGGAGCCGGTCCAAACCCACCGCCGAGTCTTTCCCTCCCGGTGGGGAGAACCCACAGCAGAGGCCGCAGCTCCAGGCAGAGTGGGGGGGCTCCCCACCCTCGGGAGGGGTCCTGGGCGTGTCCGGCGGGCCTCCCGAAGGAGACTGGGGGCAGCGGAGCAGTGCCAGCCTGAGTGAGGGGCTGACCGTCAGTGTGTGACCTGCCTTAGGATGTTCCCGAGCCAGGGTGGAGGGGGTCAGGCGGAGGCCGGGCAGGGTGGGGAGTGGCCGTGGGGAAGGCGACCTGGGGCTTCAGAGCTGGGAGGGGAGGGGAGGGCACAGGACTGGGCCGGGGGCGGGGGTGGGGGGGCTTCCCTTCCCTGGAGGCAGGGCTAGAGGCGCCCCTCGGCCGAGCCCCTGGGCTAGCGTGTGCAGGGAGCAGAGAGGGTCAGGGCTGGAGCGCTGGGAGGCCCGGGGCCGGGCAGGGTCAGACTCAGCCCTGGGACCCACACCCAGCCCGGGGCTGGCCCCAGGCAGGGGCTCAGGAGCGAACTCAGTGGGGACTTGGAGCAGGTCCCTCTGGACACCGGCCTCAGGTGCCCTGTCTTAAAGGCCAGGACTGGACCTGGTGCCGTCCGAGTTCCCCCCGGGTCTGGGCAGTCCCATGGGGTGGGCAGAGGCGAGGGGGGGGGCCTTGGGACAGCCAGCCCCTGGGGAGCGTTTGGAGGGCCCAGCTCAGATGGCCCAGTTACAGGGTTTTCGTCCAAGGGTCACTCGGGTGGGGCTCCTCGCATTCAGTGAGAGCAGGAGGTTCAAACGACAGGTGTTTCTTGTCCCTGGAAAGATGGTTGGCAGGTGCGTGGAGCTCGGCGCACCTGGACAGTCCCCCGAGTCTCCCCCCGACGGCCCCCCAGGGTCTCGCGGTGGCTTCCCCGAATGGGATGTGGGCAGCACAGGAATCCGTGTCCGGCATCTGAGGAAGCTGGGACTCTGCTCATGATGCACAGGTGTCCCTGGCAGAGATGGGCCAAACCCCAGGCTTCTTCCTGTACTGCAGGTCCCCGTTATTTGTCTGCCAGGGGCTGGAGAGGAGGCCTCTGCAGGGCTCCCCCCAGGCCTGGAACAGCAGGGGAGTGTGGCCACTGGTGGGGGTGTGGTCTCCATGGCCCAGCTCCACGGAAACTTTGACAAAATCTGTTTCATGGTTTATATCAGCTTTGGCTCTGCTCACAGTTTCCCAAACATAGATACACATGTCCATGGACTTCGCTCGCCTTTCCTCTCCCCTCTGCCCCACCGGCCCGGTTAGTGAGTCTGAAACACCAATCTCCACCTGTCATGCCTTAAGACTCCTACACCAGCCCCACCCGGGCCCCGCAGCGCCCTTCTCCCCTGCACCCCAGCCCTCTGCACTCTGCCCCGGGCCCACGTGCTCTGGCTCGGGCAATTTGTAAACCTGGACGAGATTAAAACCTTCCAGGGCGAGGGGGCCCATTTCGTCTCCTCCCAGACCACCCCATGCCCACCCCATCCTCTGCTACCACCAGCATCTCACGGCTTCCTCCCAAAGCCCCTGCTCGTACTAATGGAAGCAGTGACAGCAGAATCCAGCCGGGGGACATCAGGTCCACTAAAGAGCAGACAGGTCCACGGTGGGGGTGGCGGATTTCCACATCTGCTCCCCTCCTGCCTCACCCTCTCGCACTCTCCCCCGCAGAAGAAGGCAGACTGTAGAGGAAGGGTCTCCTGTAGGGCTGCCCCTGGCGCTTTTCTGCGACACCGAGCCTGCGTTTCGCCCCAGGGAGATGAGCTGTGCCCCAGGTCCCTCTGGTGGGGCCGGGTAGGACTGTGTGAAAACTAGCAAGTGTGAGGGGCTGGGAACTAGGGGAGGAGCCTCAGGGCAGGGGAGCAGAGGCACTGGGAGAGGTGAGAGGGGCTTCCCGACGGGCTGGGGCTTGTCCCTGGTGTCTGTCTAGCAGGCCCACTTGGTGCGGACAGGGGGGGCTGGGGGCCAGCAGGAAGCTGCGAGGGGAGGAAGCCAGGGCACCCCTCCAGGGCGGGCACAGCGCCTGGGGTGGGAGGGCACCGCGGGGCTGGTGGAGGTTGGGGCAGAGGGGCTGAGCCCGGTGACCCTGTGTTTCCAGTCAGAGCCTCCTATGTGCGACTGGTACCTTGGAATGAAGCAGGGCTCCTTTGGCCTCCGTTAGGAGGTTTGGGGGAACTGGGAGGGGAGGGCGGACGTCTGATGTTTCTCTGGCCACCAGGCGGCTGCCCCGAGGAGTCCTCCCAGCCCTCAGCCAGCACCAGCCCAGGGCACCTAAGTCCACAGCTGCTGTGGCATATTTTTGCATTCTTGCTGCTTTCAGTTTTTTAACATTTTGCAGCAAGCACTCTTCTGTATTAAGAACACAGGGCGTCATGGCTGGTGTCTGGTCTTCCTGGTGTTTTCCACCTTTGTTTCTGACCAGGGGCACGATTTCATCCGTAGCCTGGGCTCTTTCAAAGAAAGAAAACTTGGATGATATCGTTAGAGGCTATATATTTTAATAATGGTGACTGTAGAAGGAAAGGAAAAGATGAGAAAAGAAGGAAGGAAGGGGGAGAAAGTCTCTCACCACTTGGAGGAGTTCTGATCCACGCAACGCTGGGGGTCGCAGCAGGTGCTTCCGTATACCAGCTAGGATGGTGCCACCGTGTGGCAATAGCACAAACAGTGAAAATTCCTTCAGCTCACCCACCTTTAGCTTTAAGAATGTTAAATTCTTGACACATTTAAAAGATTTTGGGATGTGCATTACTTAAAATTTGGGGCCTTGGACTTCCCTGGCTGTCCAGTGGTTAAGACTCCGCGCTTCCAATGCAGGGTGTGCAGATTTGATCCCTGGTCGGTCGAGGAACTAGGATCCCACACGCCATGTGGTGCAACCAAAAAAAAAAAAAAAAAAGCTGGGGGGCATTAAGTGAGACATCATAAACATTTTTTAATTACTCCATTTCAAAGGCACGTAATTCATTTTCAGATAAAATTCCACTGTGCTGTCCAAGAATTTACCACCAAAGAGAGGAAATGCAGATTTTTTAACAGCATTCCTGAGATACACTTGACATACCATAAAAACCTACTGTGAGTGTACAACTTAATGATTTTAATAAATCTCCTGGGTCATGCAGCCCTCACGACAGTCCAGTTTTAGAACGATTCCATCACCCCACAAATGCAAATGGTGGCTGTGTTTTCTGGCAAAGTCCACACCCAGGCCAACACTCCCCACCGCAAACCAGTTCCAGGCAAGGCCAGTGGAGAGGCCAGTTCAGCTGGCCATCCACTTGCCCAGCACGCCCACAGCTGCCCAAGCCTCCTCCCTTTCCCCGTGCCTCTGGTTGGTGGGACGTGGGCCCCTCCTGGAGCCACCTTTCCCCTCCTCCTCTCCACCTGGTGCTGTGGGTAGCAACTGGGACAGACGTTGTTTTCTGGGGTCCTGGGCTTTGACGTGTCCCCGCTTCCCAGAGCCAGCCCAGCAGGGGGAAGCCTTCCATCCCATGTCCTTCAGCCTACTTCTGCCTTGGATGGAGGCTATGTCCTTGGCTCCAACGTGATGTAACAAAGCTGGGCTCCCACACCTGCTTTCCCTGGCACTTGGGGAGCTCCTGTCTGGTGCTGTTGGGTATTTCTCATGGGAGTGGAGATCAGTAACTCTTCCCCCATCCCCATGGGTCTGCGTTTGCCTACTGGTCCAGTGTCTTCCCCACTTGGCCAGTAAAGCTGGTCAGGTTCCTTGGGAGTCCTAGTCCTGGTGAACTTGCTTTCTGTGGTCTCCTTAAGCTACAGGAAGGCCGTCTTCCCTTTTTTACTGGGGAGGATATGAGTTTTTCTCTGCTTTGTTCACCACTGACGGATTCCAAGGCCTCAGAACAGTACCTGACCCGTAGCAGGCATTAATCGAACTTTAAAATTACACGGAATTGAAGTTCTGCGGCCCCTTTGTAAGGGTACTGTCTGAAGAAGGCAGGGGTGTCCTCAATTCCCTTCCATCTGGGTAACTGGGGAGACTTTGGGGAATAGGTCCTATGTGATCTATTTTAAGCTCCTGAGAGACATTTGGGTCTCACTTCTCCGAGGAGCCCTGGTTCACCAGGCCATGTGGGGAACGGGTCTGCCCTAACACAGAACTCTCCATGAACCACCCTTGTTCCTCAGCTCAGGTCAATCTTATCAGGTGGGTCAGTTCCCCCAACTGGACCCAAATCCCCAACTGAGCCAGCCCATCCTGAGACGGCTGGGCAGCTGCTTCCACCACTGCTAGGCTGCCTTTTGGGCTTTGGAATCCCCCAAACCTGGCCTCCCACCAAACGGGGCTCCCTAATTCCACTCTCCCAGAATCCTGGGGGGGGTTCACCTTGAGCACACAGCCCCACAAGGATTCTGGCCTCCTCCCCAGTTCTGTAGCCAGCTTAGTTTTTGGCCTCATGGAAGCCTTCTCTTTTCCTCCTCGTAGTGTGCGCCAGGCCTTTCCCTTCTTCAGGAAAAATGCTACCGCCTCTCCCATCCTCTGTTAGAGGGATTCTGCAGCCCCTTTGGTGTGAGCACCGAGGTGACCCAGTGGTCTCCCTTCCCCAGAGATCCATTCTAAAGGAGGCCATCCTGGACCCAACGGCTGGGTTAACAGGCTACCCTTCCCTCGAGCCCACTCCTTTCTGTGGGTCTGGGAGAGACCAGGTAGGAGAACCCAGGTTGGTAGGAGAGGCCAGGCAGCTGGCTAGTCCTAGG